CTGGTGCAAGCTCTATCAAAATTTTTTGTTCCTGATGAACTTAACTCCTTTGAACTTCATACACTAATGGCACCTATTACAAAATTAGAGGCTAAAGAAACTTCTTTTGAACTTCCAAAGGACAATTCTATAGGGCTAGATGCTTTTCATGCCAACTTCTTTCAAAAATTTTAGAAGGTAATTGAAGATGATGTTTTTTGCTACGGTCAACTACTTCTGGAAACTAGAGCACATCCTAACATCTTTTAATAAAACATTTATTGCTCTCATTGCCAAAGGTCAACATTCAAAATCTTTCAAGGACTTGGGGCCAATTAGCTTATTCAATGTCTCATACAAAATTCTTTCAAAAGTCCACAGCAATCGACTCAAAATTGTCCTGCCAAGGCTCATTTCCCCTTTTCAGATTGCTTATTTAAAAGGTAGGCTCATTACTAATAATGTACTTGTTGCAGCTGATTTGATAAATCAAATTCATTGAGCGAATCGAATACAACTTGCTCCTTCTTTTGGGAAATATTTGGGCACATGGATAGATGCATCCAAGGACAAGCATCTCATATATAAACAAGCAATGGAAGCAATAGATAAAAGAGTTGCATCTTGAAAAACGAAGCTTCTCACCCCGGCATCAAGACTAACACTAATCAATAAGTCTTATGGGCCTCTAACATTTACATTGTTTCGTGTCTTAAGTTGTCTAAAAAAGATCGGCAATCTAATTGATGCCAAATTTGGTTGATTTCTTTTGGGGTATTACATTCAAGAAGGGAAAGGGGGCATTCATCTTGCAAGAAAAGCTATTCTTTTTGGGCCTACTTCTTCATGTGGCTTAGGAATGAGAGAAAACTAGAAAAATGAATTTGGCTTTACTAGCAAAGCAGGAGAGTAATTCAATCAGAACCTCATTCACTGTTGGTGAACACTCTGAAGCTCAGATATATTGACTCATCTGATGGCACTATTTTGAAAATTCCATACAATGCTTATTGGTACTGGAAAGGTATATATGAATCTGCTGACTTAGTCACTTCTTTGCTTTGGCAAGTTGGGACTGACAACTCCGTTCTCCTAAAGCATGATAAATGGTGGACTCCTCTAAATTCTACCTTGGTGCAAGAATTAAATCTCAGAAAGGTTGCTGATTTTCTTATCCTATCTTCTCACTCTTGGGAGAAAGTTTGCTGGAACAAACCTGTTCTTCAAGATATATGCACCTAATAAAGTGCAAGATATCTGAAAGATTCCTTATCCTACTGTGGAACACAAGAAATTCTCAAATGGAAACAAGGGGGAATACTTAGTCAAGGCTGGCTCTTTCTTTATATCCTGTACACCCATTGTGATTTCACACTGTAATGCTAGGTTATGGGACTGTCCTATGAAAACTAGCTTTGCCTTGCAAAAATCTCTTTTTTGGAAGCTAGTCATACTAGCAGCCCATCACCTTCGTAACGTTTTGGTTTGTCCCTTAGAATGTGAAGCCCAAGACTCTCAATATTTTTTGTTATTGCCCTTTTACTTGAATCATCTGGTTTGGCTCCTTGTCTATTCACTTTTCTAACATTTCTAATTTAGGATTAGTTAATTGGATTTTGAAAACTTTAGAGAACTTTGCCTAGGCCAATAATTCCCAAGCTATAGAAAGCATTTTTTCTCCTCCTCCATATGATTTGGGTAAAAAAAAAAGAAAATGCTTTACACATGCAATGATTTTTGACAGACTCCACGTACAAGTGATTAGTGAATTTCATAGTCAATTTCATTTTCTAAAAATCTTCAAGTAAATGGAATTCCGGAACAAATAAGATGCAATGAGAAATCACTTGTAACCAAATTGGTTAGCAGTATATAGATGATCGAAGTATCATTCAGATTTTGACACTAGGTCTAGCTACGTTGACATTGGATATTGGAAAATATACATCACCTAGTCAAAAAAGAAAGGACTTATGAACTGAAAGCCATCAAGTGTGGGATTGAAATATGCAGGAAACTAAATTTTGATAAGGTGAGGATTTACACAGATTCGACAGAAGCAATTAATCTCATCTTCAGAGGGGTTGACTGTAATCACCCGTTTTATGAAGATATTGCTGAAATGCAAGATTTGATGTTCGCCCAAAAGGATTACATGATCCTCCATGCCCCGCAGGAAGCAATATCTTGTGCTGATTATACGGCCAACTTGGCGCATGATTGTTCGTATGAATTAGTCCATATTAGTGTCTCTCCTGCAAGATGTGAGCCTCTTATTTCATCTGACAAATGTGGGGACATGTCCCACAGCTTCTGATCTTTTCCAGTTCTTTGGTCCCTGCTTTAGCTAGCCTTGTGTGACCAAAAACAAAAAAAAACAAAGAAAGAAAGAAAGGACTTACAAGTTGTGCGACTTTTATCCAACTAAACGATGAAGAGTTGCAACGCATCTTGATCACAAAATCCGAACAGATCGATCCACGCCAATTCAACTGTTTTGGATTACAGTTACATCACTTGGTAATCTTGGTGTAAGTTTCTAAAAAGGCCATTATATTCGATCAGCTGAGCAAAATAGGACATTCATCGTTTGCTCCAGGATTTATATTCAGTTTCGATCTCTTAAGTTTAATATTTCTCTTCTATCTGTTAATTCCTTTTTTACATGTCATTTTTCTTTAGCTACCTTTAGTATTTGATTCTCGACTTCTTATTAATATAATTGTTTGACTTTTTATTTTGAAAAAATAAAAGTGATTTGTATATAAGATTGGAAAGTGTAAATTTTAAAAGCATATGAATGAAAATGGAAATGAAATCACGATTACTTAAACAAAATAAGAATATTTTCACATTAGTGTCTTTGATAGAGTAGGTATGTGATAAGAACTGAAAATATATACCTTTAAACATGAACTAATCAAAATGTATTATTACAGTAAAAAAATTGAATAAATTAAATATAACTATTAGCTTTTTTTTTTTTTTTTTTTACATTTTCCTTTTCTTCCGGTGCTTTGTAGAAGTGAGAACTATATGGGGTGTTTTTAATTAAATTCCCTTATAAAAATTTGTTAATTAGTTGAAAACTCATAAAATCATAACAATTTTTTAGTTTTGCTCCTAATAAATATTATAACTATTATCTTAATAGTGAGTAAAGCACACAAATAATATCTCTTCTCCTTTTCAAGATAAGGGTAAAAAAAATTTTTACTCAAAATTATTATGACACCCTTTATATTTAAGAATAAAATAAGTTTTTAAAAAATACCTTATATATATGGACAAAGAGAGTATTTAGTGCTTCAATGGCACAATAACAGTAGAGTGAGTGGCAATGTTAACACAATGTATTTCTTCAACCATATTGAAATGAAAAATATGGTTAAAAGACAAAAATACAATCAACATTTTCTCTAAAAATACCTAATATCCTTGAGTGACAAAAGGTGCAAGAATATTCATAAACTTGTTATAATAAGTGGTGCAGTATCCATTCTATTAAATTGCACTAATGTTAGTTAACGTTGACTATTGTAAAAACAAGAATCAAATATAATATGAAAAAATACCTAAAAACTTTCTTTTAGAAGTGTCTGGTATAATTAAGTCAGCAATGATATATAAATATCTATTAACTTTATAGAAGAGATTATATAGCCAAGCTTGGCCCTAACAACTAAGCTTTTAGGCTTATTCAAACTGATCAAAATACCCTAATTGTTAAGTATTGTTTAATTTTTTTCTATTTTTCGATCAATTTTAATTTTTATCTTAAGGAAAAGTAAGATTTTCATTTTTATCTAATTTTTATTTTATTTTATTAACAATAAAAAAAATAATTCAAGTGTTCAGGTTTGGACTTGGCTCAGATTTATTCAAGCTACCCGAAAAAGGCTAAAGTAAAAAAAAAAAATGTAAAATCTCAAGACTAATCCTAAAACTTTTTGAGCTTATTTGAACACACTTGACCCAAATTATTGATTCTATCTTTTTCCAATCCTTTAAGATAACTTGTTAACAATGAAGTTCTAAGTGTATAAGTTCATAAATTGAAAAAGGTTAATCTATTTTATAAAATTAATAAGCACATATGCACCCTTATTGTTTATTATAGGATATCAAAAGTTCTTAAGAAAAAATTTGAGTACCTTTATACATTATGTTGGCTTCCTTTTTTAAAAAGTCAACATCAATGGACATTAATCAAATTTAACAAAATGAAAATTGTTATGTTCATTATAACAAGTTTATAAATATTATAGCCCCTTCCTTCACTTAGAAATATTAGGTGCTTCTAAAGAAAAAATTGATAGATAATTTTACCTTTTAACCTAAAATAATAAATTTCTCACGGTGTGTTATTTTCTTTTGGTTAAAAACAATTTTACCTTTAAACTAAAAACCAAGTAAAATTTGTGATCCCAAGCTCATTTTCAACACAATATTTCCTTTTAATATTAAACATAGTGTAATACCACTTTACTATTAATAAAAATTAACTTTAATCAATAATTGACAAAAATATTACGGAAAAGAACTTAAACTTATAGAGAAAGAACGCAAAAAATTTACAAATACATGGCATTCACTATCAATCTTCCATCGCTGAGATTTCCTAGGTGAGATTTCCGAATTTGTTCTGCAGGATCCAGAGCAGATTCACCTATTTATTGTTATTTATATTTTAGATTTTTTATATTTATTTTAATCATATATAATTTAAAATATTTAATTACCAAAAATAATTTCCATAAATTTTTTTGAAAGAAACTGCGGAAAACGAAATGCCATTCAACCTCACTTACACCACTAAACTGATTAAATAATGTTTAATGAGTGGAACAAAACTGGAAAAAAAAAAATAAATAACCACATTCAGTTCCACAGTTGGAATCTTTATGAAATACAGTGTATCACTGCAATATGACCAAAATCTGCGAGCAGTTAGTTTCTGAAAAACTCATACATCTGCAAAGAACAGGTTTTTAACCATTAAGTATAAAATTTTCCAACAATTAATTATAACATAGTCATTTCTCATAACACATCACATCAAGAAATATTCTTTCATCCATCATGATTCTATTTAGAGTCGGTAACTCAAATAAGTCAGACTTATTTAAATCGAATTTAATGCATCCTACCCTTTCTAAAAGCTCATATAGTTAAATTCAACCCTTACACTTTCAGATTTTAGGTTTATTCGGGCTAGCCCGAATATCTGACGCTTTTTAAAAATATTTTTTTAAAAAAAATTTAAATAATTTTATTAAACATAAAATATTATTTTAATTTAAAAAAATAAAATAATAACTTATTAACTTTATACTTAAGTAACTCTATTATTGTTTTATTGTATTATGTGTAATTTATTCATAAATATTTTCTTTACTTATAATTTAATATTTTAGCTGTTTCAATATTGCTCTTGTCAGGCTCATATATAAATATTTTATATATTTTAACTAAATTATATTTTTAAATATAATTAACTTTTGAATAAACTGTGCCTTTTGTTTTTAAGAATATGAAAAAAAAAAATCAACCATCTTTATATTATATAAAACAAAATCATGAGTGAAATACTATTTTTTTTTTGGAATTATTTTTTTAACTTTTTATATTATTTAACCCTTACATATAAGAAATTTTAACTCTATTCATTATTAATTTTTAATCAAATATCGCATAAACGACAACCAAATAATAATTTAAGAATATTTTATTTACTATATTTATTTAATAGTAAAGTCGGAAATTCATACAAGCCCAAATTTTAATTTTATTTTTACTTTAAAAATAATTATATTATTTTATAAAAAATATAAAATATGTTTTTTGAATACGCAAATGATGCAGAGGACTCAAAACTTAAAAAAAAAGATCTTAAAAATATAAAAATCAAAATTAAAATACATTTTAAATATTATTTTGAGATTTTATTGATCAAAAATAATAAAATTATGAAAATATAAATTTTTTTAATTTTTTTAAAATAACTATAATAACGCACTCAAATATATAATATTTTAGCATAAAATGTTATAAACCTTAAAGAATTAACTAATATTTATTATATTTTATATATTTTTTAAAAATTTATTTTTTTTATTTTAGTATTCGAGCCAAGCCCAATCATTCAGGCCTATTCAGGCCCGAATATTAAAAAAATAATGTTTTTTAGGTTCAGCTCTAAATTTTTTGAGTAGATTCAGATTGGCCCATCGGGCTTGATTCAAATTACCAACTTTAATTCTATTAACAAATTTAACAGGGGGAAAAAAAATGATAGAACTCTAACTAATTTTTGCTGTTTAACAATGAACTTACCATAAGAAATTGAGAACAAGTGTGCTTTCAAATATACGTGCCTAAGATGGTGGCTGGCAGTGCTATTTGAGAGACCGGACCACCGTGCCGAGCCAGTCGTCCGGGATGCTGCTTCTAAGATCTCCATTTAAGGCCCTCAATGAGTGGCTTGTTGCTGCCTGGAAGGAAGAAAGAGATTTCATGATTACGATCCCCAGAAAAATAAGATCAACTAAAACCAACATGATGTTGAATTTTGTTACTTTGACAATGTAGACATCAATCCCAAGTTTTGCTATCATTGCAGCTTCTGATAGCTTCGTCGCCATCCCACCAGTTGTGTCATGAGCTGCAACTGTTAGCTCAACTGCAGGCAACACAGTAGAGCTTGCATCGATTGACCAAAATGTCATGCTACCCAAATTTTAAAAACAAAAATAGAAATTAAAGAGGAGGATTTTTTCTTTTTCTTTTTTTTTTTTTGAATGTAGACTCTGAAACTTTCTTTCAAAAAATGAACAGAGGAAATTCACAAGACCCAACTTTCATCATTCACTACTTCCAATCCTAAAGGTGGGGAATGGTCAAAGCAGCAGAAATCATCTGTAGGCTCATGAGCTTTCCCAACAAGAGTCATGATAGATCCTATTGCTTCCCTACACTCAAGGATGAAGAGGATTTCTCTCTCTGGTAAGTAGATTCACCGTTTCCAGAGTTCCTAGAAAATTTCACAACTTTGAAACCTCTATTCCAGCACATATTTTTGAGTATATTGAAGAGGATGATATCTTCCCTCCTCTTCAATTTTTTATTATTGAAGAGGATGATATTTTTAAGTGTAAAAAGTAACATATTTTTGAGTACTTCAACTCTCAGTAACATAAAGTTATCTTGCATCTTATTGTGGAAGTTCAGCTAGAAAACCATTCTACTCAGTCACATACAAGGGCTCCGTTCATTCAGCATATGATGTAAAACAAGAACAAAGACTTTGATATAATTTCTTAAATTTTTGCTATTAGGTCCTTTGATAAAACGATAACATGAAGATGAACTTATTTGAAGAAGTCAATAATGTAATACTGAGTTGAGAAAAAAGTTAACTTTTTTTTTGGGGGGTGGGGGGGGGGGGGAAGAATCTGTCAAACACCGAGGTGATTGCATCTAAATCTTGTCCTGAAACATATCACTGTGGGGTCATTCAGCTCTTCCTTGGCCCCTCCCCCTTTTGAATGAGATGAGAATAGAATGTAGAACATCTAAAGTTTAAGAAACATCTCGAAAGTACTCATACTTAAAACAAGCACTGAACTCCACATGAAAGAAAGAAAGAAAACAAGTACTGTACTTACTACCTTCAGTATATACTATAACGACATAAAAATAGGACACCTGGTAATTGGCAAGAAAATATTTGACCTTTCATTCATCAAGAAGATGCAAAGCGCAGAGAAAAGAGAAGACAATTGAATCATAAAATACTAATTCAGCTTACTTGAATTCTGTAACTTCGGATTCACAACAGACCAGCTTCCATCTTCACCAACAGCTGCCATAGTTGGAAAGGCTTTTACTAAGACAGTTCTCACTTCAGACCAACCATGAAGGAAACAGGCCATTCAGAAGATCTAGTACTCACCTATCTCCTTTAGGAGTACTGCATCAGGTTCTGTTGGTGGACGGTCATATACCCCATAGACATCGGTCTTTCATCATTGCTTAATGGAAAACATTTATAGAATGTCCTCTCAAATTACAGATGTGAAATATTGAGATAGGATTTTTAGTATTAGTGGTTCAAAACATTTAAATATTTTGGGAAACCAATCTTCACTCATCAATAATTAATTAATACGTCAACAGCTGATAAATTAACCAAAGGGCTTAGCAACTTGGAGTAATGAAAATGTGACAAGAGAGTAAAAGAAAATTGGGGGACTTGGCAACTTGGAGCAATGAAAATGTGACTAAAGAGTAAAAGAACATGGGGGGAAATTCAGGATATTTCCTAGACCATTTGGAGTACCATCAAAAAAAAAAAAAAACGATTCGGTTTGTCATGCACAAAACGAGTATTATATCAGCACCAATTCATCAAAATATGTGACATAAGATGGATACAAGAAAAACAACAAATTCTGGCTTTGCCTGTGCTGCCAGATGACTTATGATAACATCTCCACTCAAGATAGTGCACCCCTGAAAACATACTATAATCTGAAATTTTCAAATTGCACTGCTGGTTACAGCTACACTAACAACTGAGTTTGTACCTGAATCTCATCAAGCACTGCATCTCCGTGCAAAACCTAAAAAAATTAGAATGTGCCCCAAATCATTACCAAAACATACAGAAACAAAAAAGAAGAATCACTACAGAAACTGGAACTTATAAAGTAGAGCTTAAAAGAAGAAACCAGATATGTGTGCCGTCTTATGTCATTAACATCATGAAACTTTACATTGAAAGAATGAATAGTTTTCTTCTTATCCATCCACATATAAATATGGCATTCATGCTCTTCAAGCACTGAAGAAGCATATTTTTTTAGTACTGCGAATATATTCATAATGGCTTTCTCCTAGAATGATAAAGAGATGATAAAAAAAAAATCAAAAACAAAATTGTCAAGTAGAAAGAGGGAAGGTTACAGTAACAGGGAAGGAAATGCATTTAAAAGCTTTCCAGTCATAGTACAGATTAAAGGATCCAATCTTACTGGTACACAACCAGAGTCAACTGTCTTAGCCACCATGGAAAAATCTGCTGAGGTCATCTGCAGGTGTTGAATTCAAACATAGACAGGAGTGAGACACTAACTGAAAAGAAAGTCAGAAAGGTGAAAAATTCTAATGTATATAATTGACCTAACAAGATAAGGTATACTGTATATTCAGATTTTTCTAACATGTCTCTCACTGGTAATCCATCCGCATGAAAATGGAGACATTCCAATTGAAGGAATACCCTCTGCACAGAATAATTAAAAGTATAAAAATGAATTACAATTCTTCTCGAAAGTATAAATGGCAAAAAGAAAAAAGAAAATGGGAGGTAAAACAGATAAGAGCAATGATTGCATGGACAGACTAGGGTAAGAAATTGAGTACATTCCTATGTAAAGATACCTAAAACACAAGAATAAGGTAGGGCTTATGATATGATACGACATCTTCAGTGTCAATAATTTATTGTTGTTCCAATTACTGATGGTGTTATCGTCAAAGAGTTTGAAAGACAACTGGTTTTTAATACCTTGTGCCTACCCTGACAAAAGGAATTATGTTGGACAAAAACGGCAACCGTCTGTAGAAAAGCTTGAATAGAAGAAATGGTACACAGCATCATATCAACAAAGAAGAGTCATTTGTACAGCTTTTACTACACAATATATTACCTCTGGCTAGTGCTCTAACAATTTCAAGATTTAGGGTGGTTACCTGAAAATGTGAATAAAGAAAGAGATAAGCATAGAGAAAAAAAGATTTAATTCATGTGTCAGGGCATAACTTGCATCAGAATAATTTATTTATCCAGGACAACGATGCCCTACAAATCATTTTACTTGTTAGATTTTGTAGTGTATATAATTTGACAAAAATATAGAGAACTTGGAAATTAAATAGAATCTTAGCGTGAATGATGTTAAAAGTCAATTGATTTCAATTAGTTTTAGAGCTTAAAAAGGGGAACTACTGTCCATGCTTCATCAGAAATTGTGTGCGTGAAAATCATGAGCTGTAAGGTGGCAGCTGTATTGGACTGCTAGCATAACAGTCAAACACTTAAACTGTCCATTTGCTGTTACAAACTTTCACCAGAAGAAATATAGACATGACCTATACATTTTCAAATTGAAGTTTTTAAAAAAAACAGGTTAAATCTTACAGAAATACGGGTGGCAACAAAACCACCCTTGACAAGTGGTTTATGCAATTGTCCTTTGTGAACTCCAGATTTGCTAGCTTGAAAATGCCCAAAAGAACCTGGAAGAACCAAAGAATATAATTCAGTTTCATAATATCAATCAAAAAAGGCATACCTCAAAACATCACATACAATTTATAGCATGCTTTTCGTTATTACTTCACCTTACTACCTGTAGCAGCTCAAGAAGATACAAGTTCTATGACATATATGACAGCTCCTTTATTGCTGCTAAAAGCTTGATGTGTTGCATAAAGTCTGAGCACGAACTACCAACTTAGTTGCAAATTTAACATTTTTTATCATCACTTAAATCCACTCCCTTTGCCACTTACTGTGCCCCTCAAATAGCATTCTTACTCATTACAATATTCTCACTGTACTTTCCAATATTCTCAATTAATGGCAGTTCATTAATATCAGGAGCTACATCAAATCAGAAGTTTATGCTGTAGAAGAGTGAAGGCCATGGAATAGTTTTCTTGTGATATCTACCCCCCCCCCCCAAAAAAAAAGGCTTGGTTCTAGTCATGCACATACTCTGATCTCCAACACTTAATCTCTCAGACATGCAATACTAATTTGAGTAAAAATACAATTTCACTTGTCTTATTAATCTAGATAATAGATTTTACTTCATGACAAGAAGAAGGGCAAGGAACCTGCTCCATGAACAACAATGAAACGTTTACAGTCCCCAGCTGAATGATCACCAAACTCTTCAGGTTTACAAGAAATGTCTGGTTTTCCAGGTCTCTTGCTCCAATCCATCCCAGGAGGCTTTGCCGAAGATGCAATCATCGCTTGCCTAAGCTGTTCTGATACCTTCTGAAGAGTTTCCTCATTTATCATCTCTAGTTCAGTTTTGCGAGTAATAGCAGCTCCTCCTGAATGAAATTTAAAAACAAAAATCACATTACTTAGAGAAAACTTCGCAAGATCTCTTCGTTAAGCTCAGAGCTCAATATTTAACATTATTGACTTTCTTCCAATAAAAGGCCCATCCTATACAACTTTCACAAACAAGTAAGTTTACCACTACCAATTGTTGACAATAAAGTCTTTCGAATCTTTTGAGCCAGGGGGCAAAAAAAATGCACCCACAGCGCACATTCTGGCACAGTAAATGTAAATAGCGTCAACAGGGAAGGTTGGAAATCAAAGTAAGGATAGTCGATGAGTCAGCAAACGTGGAAAAACAGATCGAATGAAAAATGAATAGAACTTTACAATGAAAAAGAGAAGAAAAAGAAAATCAGACCCACCTAGTTTTACAATGCAACGGATCGGTTGACTAAATTGAAGATTGGTTTTGCTTGCTGTATCTTGCTGACCAGTTTGCTTCTCACTCTTAACTTCCTCCATTACGTCGTGGGTTTTTCTGCTGCACAATCTACTCCAAAGTTGACTAAATACGCAGATTGCTCTGATGAGAGCGGTTCAAAAAAAAAAGAAAAAGAAAAGAAAAAAAGAAAGAACCAGAAGACCGGAATCAATCTTCAATCCTGTTAGCGTAATCAATCAAAAATTATAAAAAAAAAATTGCAAATATCAATTTACATAATCGATAAATTCACAAATTTTAATTACAAATAAAATATTTAAATTATAAGTACGATTCTTAGTTTACCATGAGAGTTATGTTGACAACAATTCATTAAAAAAAAAAGACAGAAAAATATATTTAAATTATATAAATAATAGAGTAGCCTCATGAAATGACATAATTTTCTTAAAGTTTTAAGGAATATATAGGAAATGATACTTTTATCTTTTATTCATATTAAAAAAATTTATAACTTTTCATTTACAACTTTTGTTCATATATTAACAATTTTTATTTCTAAATGTGTAACAATTTAATAGCTATTCATAAGTGTTAATTTACAAGTCCTGATTTACATTAGGTATTGAAAATTTGTAACTTTTAATTCATAACTTTTGTTCCTATATTAATAACTTTTATTTTAAATTCGTAACAATTCAATAGTCATTTGTAACTCTACATCTGCAAGTCTTGATATACATTAAGTGTTAAAAATTTGTAACTTTTTGTTTACAACTTTTGTTCTTATATTAATAACTTTTTTTCTAAATTTACAATAATTCAATAGTCATTCATAACTCTGCATACACAAGTTCAGATATTCATCAGGTGTTGAAAATTCATAACTTTTCATTCATAACTTTTGTTCTTATATTGATAATTTTTGTTTCTAAATTCGCAACAATTCAATAGTTATTCGCAATTGTAAAGATTTTTATTTTATTTGAGGGTAATTTGGTCATTTCTTTTAATTTCATGATGACAAAAAAAAAATCCCATAGAATTCTATAAAAATTATGCCATTTCGTGAGATCAATCTGTCATTTACATAATTTAAATGAATTTTTCTATTATTTTCTCTTTTTTTTCTAGAATTTTATCCAAAAGCAAATTATCATTAATTAATTTGATATTTCAAATTTTATTATCAATAGGTAAAAATAAAAAATTTATTATCACTCATCTTATTTTGTTTACCCTAAAGATTGAGGTGATGTCAACTACTAAATTACCGTGAGTTGGCAATTTTAAAATATAAGTATATTAATATTAAATGTAAAAATTATATAGAGATTTACATTGCTATGCATAAAAATGTTTATTAAATAATCATGTATGTAATTATGATAAAAACTCTTAAATTAAATATATAAGAAATTACATATAAATGGATGGAAAATTATAATTGGGTCTCATATAGTAAATTTATTTATATATAAGTCCCGCAAAATTCATAAATTAAAGCCAAATCCTTTGAAGCTTTAGTTTAATTTATGATTAGAGTGTAAAGACAATATTGCCTCTAATAATTTAGCTTTCACGTACAAATATAGCTTCATAATTTACAATATGCCTATTTAAAACTATAATTGATTTAATTAGGATGTAAAACTCATAATTCACTTTGTAATCATAGCTTTGAGTTAGTATAATGTAACATACTTTCTAAATCCCTTTAAACAAACAACTATCATGGTAATAAAATTTAAAATCCATTAAAAACAATTATCATAGTAAAAAAGATTCCAACCCCTGTTTATAAATATAATTATAGTTTATTATAATAAACTCCTCACCATAATATTTAAAAATATGAAAATCACTCTAAGGTCCTATGAAAGCATTTAAAATATACTGAAGTCCCATAAATTCATGAAATAGTTGCCAAATTGCTAAGGACTTAAGGGTGAATAAGTTTGAAAATGAAATTATCAATTGGCTCTCTAGCATTAAAAAGGAGATTTTACTTGTGCCGCATGTCTCACGAAACCCATGATCAGTGATACTAAATATTACTGCATATCCATGGTAGGGTAATTTTCACTTTTTTATATCCATGATTATCGCCCTTATCTTCATCTAAGTGAGTTGGGAGTGTTTCATTCGTGACCGTAGGATTTCATCAACAGAAAACAAAACAGTGATTGTTGGACGGGTAAACGATTTCTTATGCATTGATGATTTCATTATTGTTTAAGGGTAGGATAATGCTTTTGGGTATGCGATCATTCGGTTTGCATAGCTAATAGGTATGGAATAATCTGGTACAAAATTGATGTGTTAAAAATATCTTATATGAATAACTCTACATATTGTTAATAGTATATTCTTGTGTTGTCAATATGCTAAAGATAGTTGTTGATACATTATATTGTGCAAGTTGACCTGTAAGAATGAAAGTACTACAGAAAAGCATGTATTATGTTATGTTTTTTTTTTCATATAGGACATTTTATATGTTATTCCCAAGCATCTAATGCAAGCTTGTTTTGTAGAAAAATCTTTGCTATGAAACAACACTACATGTTGCCAATAGTAGATGAATGTGTTGTCAATACATTATGTATAGTTGTTAACACACTGTGTGTGGTGCAAGTTGACCTATAAGGTGGCAAGTTCTTCTAGAGAACATATATTATGTTTTTTCTATATAAGAGGCATTCTCAAAATGATGACTAAGGAAGTAAGCAATACGTTACAAGTTTACCGCTCAATGGAAGATATATGCCAACAGCATAAAGCCGGTAGCCATGCATGACTGTCCACATCCAGAAGCATTGATGGTGACAAATTTATTAACCCAAACCTTCTTAGAGCCATCAATGACTAGAAGGCCTCTAGGTAGGCCAAAGAGTAAAAGAAGGAATCTCAATTCCAAAACAAAAGGGTTTATTATTGTGGAAGATACTATGAAACTGGTCATACCTATAAGACTTGCAAAAATCCTAATCCATGTTAGAAAATATTATAGACAAGTGTATTTTTTTATTTATGTATCTGGAATTTATTTTTTTTATTGCACCTAATATATTAGCATTTGTAAATGGCAAACACATAGCTTGCAAATGAAGTGATACCTTGTAGTCAATGGCCAACAACAAGTAGTCAATAAGTTCTTGTAACTTGTTGATTTTTAAAGGGAATAACGATGCCTAGCGCCTCAACACTTGTCAATGGCGAATTCATAGCTTGTTAATATAGTGATAACCACTTGTCAATATTTAATTAATAAAACAAACTATTTGCCACATTTACAAACTTATAATCAACATTGTCTAAGTTATACACGAAATGGGCTAACTATATAAAAGGACATGATTATAAATAAAATTATATCCTAAAGTTCTATCAAAAATATAATAATAAATTTGTCACTGTCAATGCTTTTGGACGTGGACAGTCATGTGTGGCTACTAACCTCATGCTGTTATCATATATATTTTATTGAGCAGTAAACTTGTAACATATTGTATACTTTCTTGGTCATCATTTTAAAAATGCCCCCTATATAGAAAAAATATAATATATGTTCTCCAGAAGAACTTACCATCTTACAAGCCAACCTATATCACATACAATGTATTGACAACTGCACGTAGTGTTGTTTCATAGTAGAGATTTTTCAACAAAACAAGCTTGATCAAATGCGAATAATATATATAATGTTCTATATGAAAAAAAAATAACATAATACATGTTTTCTAGTAGTACTTGCATTCTTACAAGTCAGCTTGTACAATATATTATATCGACAACTATCCATAGTGTAACATCCTGAATTTCAATCCTAAGAATTAGTTGCTAATCAGGGGTTAATTAGTAATCAGTGGATTGATTGTGGTTTGGATGTTGACTTAGTGTTTTGTGTCGTTTAGATGTTTTACTAATAGGATTAAAGGGTAGAACAAAAATCTGAGGCATAATGCGTGAGCACAAGTGAGATTAGACTCACTATGCCACACGCCGAGGTGCATTATGCAGAAATCACTTAAAGCTGACATGAACAGCTTGTAAAATCAGAAGAGGAAGTGTAGAAAATGCATCTAGAGAGGAAGAGGAGGTTAGCTCTGTTAAGGCAAGGAATATCCAGAGCTTAGGAGTTTGTTTTGAGTAGTAACTTGCTAAGTAAGTATCACGCAATCCTAAGCTTCAATTCTACTCCATTTTCATTGAATTTCATCGATTGAGAAATTGAATTAGGGAGTTTTAAGGTATTGGAATATAAAAAAGGCAGAAAATGGGCTATCGAATACAAAACTAAGGTTTTGTGACTTGTATAAAGTTAAATGGTTAACCTTCGAGGATTTAGGCTCAAAATAGCCTAAAAGTTAAGTTAAATGGTGAAAATTAATTGAGTAAATGAGTTAAGAGATTGTTATAGTTAAATGGATTCCAAGGGGGTCTGATTGAATCATTTTATGTGTTAAGAAATTTGGTTTAGCCGAATCAATACTTGTGTTAAATGTTAAGAATTGACTGGGAGGCATTGTGTTATGTAGATTGACCACTTATGATATTGCTCTTGGGAGTCCATAGTGATTAGTAACCCTTAGTGGCAAAAGTTAAAGGTAATCAGAGTAACCATTTTACTTATTTGTTTGTAAAATTGTTTACAAGTATTTTTATATAACTATATGCATTGTGTTGTGAACTAATAGAGTAGCAGAATTAGGAAATAATATGCACACAAGTATGTGAGTATTGATTGAAATGAATTTAGGATGGCATGTGCATTGACATGCATCATTTCTGCGAGTATACCTTGGATTATGGTAAGAGAACATAGCCCTATCATGGGGAGGTCCAGGAAGTCCTAATGATCTAAAGTGTAGAGCTTAACTCTGTTGGAATGGACTCAGGAGAAGAATCCTGATTATCCAAAGAGTAGAGCTTGACTCTACCACAACAGACCTAAGATATGAAATGATCCACGAGGTTACCCTAGACTAGGATAGGGGGTCATGGTCATACTCTGTATAAGGCTAAGAAGTCGTGATGATCCAGAGCATAGAGTTTAACTCTGTTATAACGAACCTAGGAAACCACCCAACATAAAGAAGATTACTTAGTCTGAGCAGAGGTATGATTGGCCTTGTTTTATGTAACTAGA